ACTGGAAGAGAGAGAGAGAGAGGACGAACCAGCAAGACTGGACCTAGTATTCACCTTGAGTAGTTCACACAAAGAGGACATCACATATGAAAGGCCCTTTGGAGCTATTGGTCCTGAGCTTCGAATACATAGTAAGAACATAAGAAAGAAGGAACACTGCAACAGGCCTACTGGCCTGTTGCAGTGTTCATTTCTCCCACCAGCATAAGCCAATGCCTTGACCTAGTGAGGTCAGACACGTCACTTAAGGGAGGAGCACTGCATCCGACCTAGTAGTACAAGCTAATCAGGATAAGTGAAACCAACCTACAAGAGAAGGGACTACATAGGCATTGGAAATTTCCTGCATGAGGTTCAGAGGGAAAGAGAACTGGCGGGAAAGTCAGCAAATGAAATGATGGAATATGTGACAACAAAATGCAAGGAAGCTGAGGAGAGGTTCGTACCCAAGGACAACAGGAATAATGGGAAGGCCAGGACAAGCCCTTGGTTCACCAAAGGTGTAGAGAGGCCAAACCTAAGTACAATAGAGAATGGAAGAAGTACAGAAGGCAAAGGACCCAGGAAAATAAGGAGATAAGTTGAAGAGCCAGAAATGAATATGCACAAATGAGGGGTGAGGCCCACCAATGATACGAAAATGACATAGGAGCAAAAGCCAAGTATGACTCAAAGGTGTTGTACATTTCACATCAGGAAGAGAACAACAGTCAAGGTAATCAGGCTGAGGAAGGAAGAAGTGTAGACCACAAGAAACAATCGGGAAGTATCTGAAGAGCTCAACCTGAGATTTAGGTAAGTATTTATAGTGAAGCCACAAAGGACACCAGAAAGCCAGATTTGTGGGGTACTCCACGTACTGGACACAATACGTACAACCGAGGAGGAGGTGAAAAGGCTGCTATATGAACTAGATACCTCAAAGGTAATGGGGCCAGACATCTCTTGGCAAGTCCTAAGAGGGAGCAGAAGAGCTCTGTGTGCCACTAACAACAATCTTCAACACATCTATTGAAACAGGGTGTCTAACTGAGGTGTGGAAGACAGCAAATGTAGTCCCAATTTTTAACCCTTTGAAGGTCGAGAAGCCCTCTCCCAAACTCGTTCTCAGGGTTGAAAAATTTTAGAAAAAAAAAAAAATTATTTTTTCTTATTAAATGATAGAGAATCTTTTTCCGATCATAATGACACCAAAAGTATGAAGTTTGATGGAAAATTTATGGAATTATGCTCTCACGAAGTTAGCGATCTCAAAGTAGGCGATTTCACCCACTTTGAGCCCTATTTTTGGCCAATTCCAATATTGCAGCTGACTAAAATCATAGCTATTTCCCTAGAACTCCATTTATTCTATCGACTGAGTACAAGAATCTGCCCATTTACTGATTCCAACTACCCATTAAAGTGGTCAGAAATTGGGAATTTGGGCAATTTCACACAAATTTTTCTTGTATAAATTATTAAATGTAAAAAAACTTTTGTTTACCTTTTTAGGTCGCCCTGTCTCGGTGGGAGACAGCCAGTATGTTAAAAAAAATATAGGTGTGAACCCCCCCCCACACACCCCACCCCATTTTAAGAACAGGTAGAATAGGGCCCAAAAGACTATGGAGTTAGTATTGAACCCTTGCAAGCACATACAGGCGAGTACAAAAAAATAAATACACCGAGTGCTAGGCCTGTCAATCTCGGGACCACGGTTCAAGTCTCCCATCCATCTTTCTGTTAATCCATGCAAATGTTTCTAACAAGACTTATACCAGAACAAAGGGAAGATAAGTTACAAGGAGTGTCTACTTGGAGATTGTTCCAAGGATCAACGCCCTCACAACCTTGTCCCAGACAAGGTCTCTTACTGGATGGCCTGATCAACCAACCTGTTGGTGCTAGCCACATGAAGTCCAACATATACACCACAACCCAGCTGATCAGGGACTGACTTTAAGAACTTGTCAAGTTCTTCTTGAAGACAGCCAGAATCCGTTGGTAATATTCCTTATGTACGGTGGGAAGCTCTCCACGGGCAAGTGGAACAGAATTGTTCCTCCATAAGTCATGTGCATCATAACAGGAGACTAAAATGCCAGGAGCAAGGGGCTAGTAACCCCTTCTCCTGTATAAATTACCACACAGCCTCTCCTCACTGAGTGATGTACTCGTTTACTGAAGCCTCGGACTTACGATGGGCTCTCTGACCAGCATGCGTACCTAAATGATGTATATTAGAGCTATATGCAAATAACCCGCACATAAAAGAGAGAAGCTTACGACGACGTTTCGGTCCGACTTGGACCATTTACAAAGTCACAAATGGTCCAAGTCGAACTGAAACGTCGTCGTAAGCTTCTCTCTTTTATGTGCGGGTTATTTGTGTATCGTTCCAGTCACGGTATTGTGCCTTTTTTTGTTATATATTACAGCTGATTGTATCTATTCTGTTTATATCAATATACAGTACACTAGTGTATAAACATTTAAAAATATACCAGAAATGTTATAAGTAGTGCAAAGGTGACATAAAAACACTATCAAAGATGGTTAACACAAACCCACTACTATTATAGCTCCTCACTTAGTGATGAATACGTTTACCAACGTGGTCTTGGGAACGAAACTCCGTCGTTAAGTAAGAACAGACTGTATTTAAAAAGAAAAACTTTCATTTTTCTTTTCCACCCTGCCTCGGTGGGATATGGCCGATGTGTTAAAGAAAATGGTGGGAAGTTGTTGAAAAGTCTTGGGCTTCTTACACTTAGTTTTTCCTTTAATGTACTCATGGTGCTCCTGCTTTTCATCAGGGTTATATTGCACCATCTGCTAAGCCTCTTGCTTTTGCAGGGAATGATTACTGCATGCAAATTGGGACCAATCCTATAGGATTTTCCAAGCATAGATTATGCATCTTTCTTGCCTGCATCTACAAAGTACAGTGAAGGGACTCAAACATTCCCAGTAATTTAAGTGTTGTACTGAATTTGTACATACTGTGAAGGTTCTCTATACATTCTCTGTTTCTAATTTTGCCTGCTGTAAAAGGGGCTGTAGTTAAGTTTATTTAGACACAGGTACACATAAGTACAATTATAATAGTGCAAATAACCCAGGATAACCCAAAAAGTCAGCCAAAATGACTTATTTTCATTGGGGTCCTTGTAAGTGTAGAACAATGTTCCAGCCTAGAAGGAGCAAGTGACAAGTAGAATTATCAATGGCTTGATTTCTTGTTTTAAAGGTTCTTATTACTGCTCCTGATGACACTGAAGGATATTACAATAATAATGATGGTATGTAATACCAACAGGTACATGAATGTATATTCTTTCTTTCTTTCAACACACCGGCCGTATCCCACCAAGGCAGGGTGGCCCAAAAGAAAAAACCAGTTTCTCCTTTCATATTTAGTAATATATACAGGAGAAGGGGTTACTAGCCCCTTGCTCCCAGCATTTTAGTAGCCTCTTACAACACGCATGGCTTATGGAGGAAGAATTCTGTTCCACTTCCCCACAGAGATAAGAGGAAATAAACAAGAACAAGAAAGAAAATAGAAGAAAACCCAGAGGGGTGTGTATATATGTTTGTACATGTATGTGTAGTGTGACCTAAGTGTAAGTAGAAGTAGCAAGACGTACCTGAAATCTTGCATGTTTATGAGACAGAAAAAAAGGACACCAGCAATCCTACCATCATGTAAAACAATTACAGGCTTTCGTTTTACACTCACTTGGCAGGACGGTAGTACCTCCCTGGGTGGTTATCTACCAACCTACTACCACAGGACGGTAGTACTTCCCTGGGTGGTTGCTGTCTACCAACCTACTACCTAGAATGAATGTATGTATGTTGGTATAATTACCGACAAACTGTTACAGCTTTGTCAAGCCACAATAAAATGTCACATTAGTTGCACTTGTGTCCTTTTACTTTACAGGTACATGAATGAGACATGTGCCGAGTACAAAGTAGGCTTCTTCAGTCCAAGACTATCTTCACTTCTGAAATCTTTTGAGTACAAAATAATTTCTTCAGTGGAATACTGAGGTGACCAAATACAGAGACATTAGAAGCAGTGTAACGGTGATGTGATCAGTCTATCAGCCTGGAAGTAGTAGCACTGAGGGGTCAGTCCCTCAAAAACATGAGAATCATCTAGCTGTATAGTTTCTTCCATCCCCTTTAGAGAACAGAAGTACCAGGGGGAAACACAAAAATGACATTAAATACTTAAGAGGCCTTGATGTAGTGGACAGTGATAACCTGTTCAACATGGGCATAGTTGGAGATTAATCACCAGCCTGGTTAACCAGGTTAGCACCAGAAAGATCTCGAACTCATCAAAGGTGCATTGAAGGTAAGTATTTCTTCAGCCTGGAAGTGGAATAGCCAGGATATAGTAATAGTCGAGGGAGAAAGCTCCACGTATAGCTTTAAAAGCAGGTATGACAGGGCCTAGGAGGCCCAGCAAACAGCAGGACATAGAATGAGACCTAAGAGGCACATGAGTTTCCCTGTCTCCTAATATAATGTTCATTTTTCCCCTATAATCTACCTTGACCATAATTATACTATTGTATTTGCTTTGGTCTGCTTGCATAAGGCAAGTCTAGGATCTTTCCTTAATTCATGGTATAACTTAACAAATCTTTGAGGACAATTGTGTTGCAGAGGTCTGAGCTTTGCTCAGACCTCTGCAACACAATTGGACAAGGTAAATTATAGGGGAAAAATAACATATTATTAGAAGACGGGAACTGACGTGCCCCTTAACCTTGGCAACCACAAACAGATGTAAGTGTACAGATAATCATACACACAAAATAATCCTCGAATTTTACAGGAAATAGGTACCACACCACCATTACAAAACAGAAAAAATTATTAGAAAAAGCTTTGAAAACGTTTCTAGGGACTCATCCTCAATGCCCGATGGAAAATAGCACAGAAAAAGTAATATGCCAGAAACATATAGATGATCCTGATCATAAGAGAACAAGTGTTACCTGAGGGTGAAGCTACTGCTTGTTCCAGAGCACTGACTTTCTTCTTCAAGCTAGCATTGTCTCGTTCCAAAGATTGTACATCATCCTGAAGGTTCCTGTTTGCTTGTTGTAATACACTCTGCAATAGAAAATTTCTATCAGTAATAAATAAGGAAGAGTATTTAATTTTTTAACACATCAGCTGTCTCTCACTGAGATAGGCGAGTCAACAAAAGAATAAATACATTCATGGTCATTTTTTCAATTGATGTCTTGCCTGACGCATACTGACATCACAGTCGAGAGGACTCGAAACCGAAACATCCTCACCCCTCTTTCAGAGCGACATCACGGTTCAGATAACTTTCCAAACTCCTCACCCCTCCTTCAGAGTGACGTGCTCAGACGTCTCCCCAAACCACAACATCCTGACTCATGGGATGAGTATGGTGTTTAAAAATCCATCATCATGAAGAGAGAATAAATGTAACTCACCAATTCAGTTACAGCAGCATTATAGTTCTGTCTGACATCTTTGAGTTTACTTCTTAGCAATGAAACATCATCCCTGAATTTCTTCTTATCATCTATTGTCTTGTTCAGTTCCCTAGACAAAACAAAGTTTAATTAAAGTTGTGCTCTGTGTAAGATGATGATTGCAAACAAACCACATTACGAATGGGGTTAGAACTCATGGCAAGTAAGTCTATACATGTAATATTTGCTCTCTTGATTATATTCAATAAAAATATACAGTGGACCCCCGCTTTACGATCAGCTCCCAATGCAACCAATTATGTAAGTGTATTTATGTAAGTGCGTTTGTACGTGTATGTTTGGGGGTCTGAAATGGACTAATCTAATTCACAATATTCCTTATGGTAACAAATTCATTCAGTAATGGCACCTGAACATACTTCTGGAATGAAATAATATCGTAAACCGGGGGTCCACTGTATCATGTTTCATGAAAGATGTAGATTAATTCTTCATGTTACTTACATTACTTGATATCCCTACTATATAGAATATAAAAACATATTTTATTTAGATCTATACATAATTACAATAGTATTTACAGCCTCTCCTCACTTAATGGTGGGGTTCCATTCCTGAGAGTAGGTCGGTAAGCGAATTGGCCAGTATGCAAACTGGTCGTCAAGCGAGGAGCATACTATACTGGTAGTGGGTTTGTGAGGAGAGGCTGTTTATATAATAGTGTTGGGAGAATTACCAACATCATGTTAGGTAAAAGGACACAAGTGCAACTAATACGATATTTTACTGTGGCAACGTTTCCCTCTCCAGCAGCTTTGTCAAGCCGTTCCTGGAAAGGAAAACATTGCAGCAATAAAATGCCACATTAGTTGCACATGCGTATTTTTACCAAAGAGTATTTGTTTAGTTGTGAAATTTAGATAAGGAAAAGTAATACACAAGACCCTTGAGAGGTTTGTGAGAGCACCTCACTAAGGTGTATCAAATTATCCTGACAGAAAGTGCCAAGTGTGCTATTGTCATTCAGCTTTACACAGATGGGATGAAATACACACATAACCCATACACAGAATAATTTTTAATTTCAGATCTTTATTACCATATTTTGCAGCTTATTAGATGCATTTTTTCCTTCATAAAATGTCTCCAAAAACCACCCTGTGTCCTATAAACTGAAGCTCAGCAATAGGAGCTATAAGTTTAGGGTGAGGAGTGGGCTGTAGCTCTCCCGGTTACGTCCGATGCCGAGCCGTTGAAACTAAAATAAGTCTTATAAGCCGCGTATTATAACTCGCAAAATACGGTACATATCCCATACCCATCATGTGGGCGGTAGTCAAAAGTCTACAGAAGTACATAATGGGTCCAGGGACTGGGCTGCAAAGTTCTGATCGCTGAAACAAGTTACAGTGATACATGTACAAACACATACACACTTATATGGCAGGTTAGGTTCCAGGCTACTGCCTTAAAGCAGAAATTGCCTTAAAGCGGAACACCAATTTTTTCACTTACAAATGCGTGAAAATTGCAGACAACAAATTTACACTCACTTTTATTAAGTTACTAATACAGCTAGGCATTAAAAACACTAAGTAAAATATACATACACAGTACATTCATTACTTACCTTCAAATATTTGTAGTCTTAATATAGAACAAGAGGTGAGTAATACTTATTTGTAGGAAGTCAGGTGTAGGTAGCCCTGGCTCCCCATCCCAAACTTAAAATACAATATTTAAGCAGCCCAGAGAAATAAAATACACATACAGTACACTCATTATTTACCTTAAAATATGTTCTAAGAAATGCCAGAAATATTAGTTCTCAATTACAATACAGTATTAGGTCCCTAAGTAAACACTACGATGACCTCCTTGCACTCTCGAGTCCCTAAAGACACCCTTGTCCTGTATTATTCTCATTGAAACCTGGCTTAAACAGGACAATAGATATATACCAACTGCCAGGATACAGGGTCTAAAGCCAGCAATGAACAACAAAATACCTTACATCCATGGACTGCTTGCAGAGGCAAATGCAATGTTCGCGGCTTTCACAGAGACCCACGAAATATGGATCCCAGGTTACAACCTATACAGATGTGACAGAGTGAACAGGCAAAGGGAAGGGGGGTTGGCCTGTATATCGCAGAGTCACTTGTTTGCATAGAACTGCTTAATGCCTCAAATGATGTGGAAGAATTAGCAGTAAAGATCGAGAACCAAAACTTAGTCATCGTGGTAGTCTACAAGCCTCCAGATGCAACGTCCCAGTAATTCCAGGAACAGCTGTCAAAAATTGACCACTGTCTGGAAAATCTGCCAGTTCCTGCCCCCAACATCTTGCTCCTGTGGGATTTCAACTTGAGGTACCTAAAATGGAGGAATATAGCAAATAATGCTGTTGCAGTGATAACACCAGGAGGCAGCTCTGACGAGAACTCACACAAACACGAGCTTTTAAATCTCTGCACAAAATTCAACATAAACCAGCAAATAATAGAGCCTACTAGACTGGAGAATACACTAGACCTCATCTTCCTACAATGATTCTGTACGTGGATTTACAACTTAGAACCAATATACTCGGATCACAAATAATGCTTTGCAGTGTAACACCAGCATGTATCCCGACGAGCCCACACAGATCTGACAAAATTCAATTAACCCACAATGAGCCTCATGACGAAATTCAACTTCAATAACAAGAAGATAATAGTATGAAAGTAATCAATCAAAACGATATAAGCCCTAAGATAGACTAAGCAACGCGGAGCCCCAACTGACCAAAATGAGTTTAAATCCGGTGGCACCGATTATCATTCAACTTCAATAACCAAGAAAAAGGAGCAGTAGATGTTAAAAATAAAAAAGAGCAACACAGCCCCATTTTATGGCCGAAAAAGATTAACTGGCGGCACAGAGGCTCAATTATTCCTTGAAAAAGGTAGGAGTCACTGGTAAAAATAGAAACAGGCGACCCTTAAGGGCTAAAGGAAAAGGAGTCAGAAGCGGCTAAAAGAGCCAATATATATTGAATGTATGAGTATTCAGAAAAAGAAACGACTTAAGCTAAAGGGACAAAATAAACAACCCTAAAAGCCATAAATGAAATCGAAAGAAACCCAAAGTATTTCTTTTCTTATGCCAAATCAAAGTCGAGAACAACATCCAGTATTGGGCCCCTACTTAAACAAGATGGGTCCTACACAGATGACAGCAAGGAAATGAGTGAGCTACTCAAGTCCCAATATGACTCAGTTTTTAGCAAGCCGCTAACCAGACTGAGAGTCGAAGATCAAAATTAATTTTTTATGAGAGAGCCACAGAATTTGGTTAACACAAGCCTATCTGATATTATCCTGACACCAAATGACTTCGAACAGGCGATAAATGACATGCCCATGCACTCTGCCCCAGGGCCAGACTCATGGAACTCTGTGTTCATCAAGAACTGCAAGAAGCCCCTATCACAAGTTTTTACCATCCTATGGAGAGGGAGCATGGACACGGGGGTCGTCCCACACTTACTAAAAACAACAGACATAGCCCCACTCCACAAAGGGGGCAGTAAAGCAATAGCAAAGAACTACAGACCGATAGCACTAACATTCCATATCATAAAAATTTTTGAAAGGGTCCTAAGAAGCAAGATCGCCACCCATCTAGATACCCATCAATTACACAACCCAGGGCAACATGGGTTTAGAGCAGGTCGCTCCTGTCTGTCTCAGCTACTGGATCACTACGACAAGGTCCTAGATGCACTAGAAGACAAAAAGAATGCAGATATAATATATACAGACTTTGCAAAAGCCTTCGACAAGTATGACCATGGCGTAATAGTGCACTGCGTGATAAAGGAATAACAGGAAAAGTTGGTAGATGGATCTATAATTTCCTCACAAACAGAACACAAAGAGTAGTAGTCAACAGAGTAAAGTCTGAGGCGGCTACGGTGAATAGCTCTGTTCCACAAGGCACAGTACTCGCTCCCATCTTGTTTCTCATCTCATAACTGACAGACAAGGATGTCAACCACAGCACGGTGTCTTCCTTTGCAGATGACACCCAAATCTGCATGACAGTGTCTTCCATTGCAGACACTGCACGGCTCCAGGCGGACATCAACCAAATCTTTCATTGGGCTGCAGAAAACAATATGAAGTTCAACGATGAGAAATTTCAATTACTCCGATATGGTAAACATGAGGAAATTAAAACTTCATCAGAGTACAAAACAAATTCCTTCCACAAAATAGAGCGAAAAACCAACGTCAAAGACCTGGGAGTGATCATGTCAGAGGATTTCACCCTCAAGGACCATAACATTGTATCAATCGCATCTGCTAGAAAAATGACAGGATGGATAATGAGAACCTTCAAAACTAGGGATGCCAAGCCCATGATGACACTCTTCAGGTTGCTTGTTCTATCTAGGCTGGAATATTGCTGCACACTAACAGCACCTTTCAAGGCAGGTGAAATTGCCAACCTAGAAAATGTACAGAGAACCTTCACGGCACGCATAACCGAGATAAAACACATCAATTACTGGGAGCGCTTGAAGTTTCTGAACCTGTACTCCCTGGAACGCAGGCGGGAGAGATACATGATTATATACACCTAGAAAATCCTAGGGGGACTAGTACCGAACTTGCACACGAAAATCACTCACAACAAATGCAAAAGACTCGGCAGACAATGCAACATCCCCCAATGAAAAGCAGGGGTGTCACTAGCACGTTAAGAGACAATACAATAAGTGTCAGGGGCCCAAGACTGTTCAACTGCTTCCCAGCATACATAAGGGGGATTACCAACAAACCCCTGGCAGTCTTCAAGCTGGCACTGGACAAGCACCTAAAGTCGGTACCTGACCAGCCGGGTTGTGGCTCGTACGATTGATTGTGTGCAGCCAGCAGTAACAGCCTGGTTGATCAGGTTCTGATCCACCAGGAGGCCTGGTCACAGACCAGGCAGCGGGGGCGTTGACCCCCGGAACTCTCTCCAGGTAAACTCCAGGTAATACACAGCAATCCACAATTGCAGACTATACCAAGTTGGGTATGGTATTGCCATCTATTACTCCAGTAAACTATTATG